GTAAATACATAAGAATTAAGTGTTATGTATGTAAAATTCCCTTATTTTCGTTTTTTTTTCTTTATGATACCTTTTTGTGTTTTGTTTAGTTGTGAAATTTGGGAGCATTAAAGCTTTGAGCAAGGAAGAAGCTTCTTCCACTCAGTCACTATGATCCAACTGCTCATTTCTTCTTGCTGATTGTTGAGATGCCCATGAGGACAAATAATGGATTTTTATTGAAATTGAAATGAGAGTGGTGGCTCTTAACTCATTATCATTGGTTTGTGCTAATGGGTTGATTTATGTTCATTCACTAGTGTATTAGGCTTCCTATCAATCGGTATGTGAGTCAATGATTGGATTGCGATCGAGTGTTTCATTGAGTTTATTTTCTTATGCAGGCCTTGGTGTCTTCTTTTATGATTCAACAAGATTTAAGGGTTGGTGAGTTTCATCGAGGCTTTATATGATTAGTGTTCATCTATTTGCATATTAGGCTTATATAACACGTGTGAAATTCTACTCCCCATAAATTGATCTATGTTCCCATGGTTCACTTTGGATGGAGTGTTTTATGTTGTTTGGGTCTCCCATAAGTCTTGGCATCTTCTAGTATGATCAACTAGATTTAAGAGTCGGTTAGTAATTTAAGTTTCATGTGATTCAGTGCATCTTGGTGAGATCGTAAAGCTTTCGCTTGAGGGTTTTGATGACTGATGTAAAGAACTCTAATTCGAGAAGGTGATTTTTGAGGTGCACATAAGATTGAAAAGTAGAAACTCATTCAAAGTGAAATAAGAGTCTAATTTCTAGTTGCGATAGTCCGAACCCTCACCCATCGAGATATTGTCACTTTAGCTTGATAGCCTCATGATATTTTCCCAAGTGGTCACCCATCCCAAGAGTACTCCTCTACGGGCATGCTTAACTTTGGAGTTTCTATTGAAACTCCAGTCATTACACCAAAATGTGTCTCGATTTTAAGAGTTTAACTTCATTAAGTAGTTTCACAATTTATCCCACATAATTGATATCCTCATCAGTCGTTTGAACCTATAATCATTTATCTGACATATATGATTCAAGCCCTTATTGATTTAAGATATATCTTCCATTATGTAACACTTGTCCCATAATGGGTTCAAGAGGTGGATTCCATGACATATAACACTTTGTTCTGTATGTCACTTGTTCCCATCTTCAATTTAGTTTGACGCTCTTATACCATTTGTAATAGCCCAAACTCTCATCCATTGAGATATTATCCGCTTTGGCCTATTGGCCTCAAGCGACTTTGGTTTTTTCCCTCAGATCACTTAAATGATTGTTGTGGGTTAGATTGCAATTGAGTGAGGCGTTAGGCCAAAACGGACAATATCTCTATGGATGAGAGAGCGGGCCATTACACTAATTTTCTATATGTGTCTCCATTGCAGTGGACTCCATTCTCTTTCTTATCAAAATCAAGCATTTTTTTCTTATGTATCCCAAGTAAAAGTTGTAATTTTTGAATGAGTGTTTATTGTATGATAATTTGCTATTTAGGGAGTAGTGGAGTGGTCTATGCTGTGAAGTTGTATCCTGCTGGAGCTACTACCAATTCACAAGAAGGAGTAACAGATATCTTTGGAAAATGCTTTCCTGTTCTTGAGGAGATGGTGAAGCAGAAAATGCCTTTGTTGGTATATTCCCTCAACTGTACCCTAGATAAAATGGCAAAGTTTGAATTACTCTTTCCTTGCTTAACATGTAGCTTTCTTTACTCAAAAGGGGTATTTACAT